AGGTGCTGTGACGATTTGTAACCGAACTCAATCAGAAACTGATGATCTGACAAATAGCACTTTATTTACCAAGCCAAATATTTAACGATTTTGGAAACTATGTAGAAGATTCGTATTTTAATTTTGATAAAAATGTTATCTCAGCTAGGCTATTTTTCAATTCAGGTTTCTGAAGAACTGTCTCCTAGACATTTGTATGAGACTGCTGACACAGTGTTGTACAGTAGACACTAGAATACAAGCAGAGGTGAGCTGACACACTGGCTACAAATTTTCAGGTTTATTTTCACTGTAATGACAAGGGAGGGATGCCAGGCTGCAACAGCAAAAACTCCTCGTGTTGCAGTAGATAGGCCATCTTGGGGACAGTTTGATATGTTGTTGTAATTCAGTAACAAACATTTTTTGTTAGCTTCCCTGCTGCGATTATGAGGCTATAAGAAAAAGGTATCATTAATTACAGATTTATTGTCTTGCATGGTTCTCCTTGCAAGTTACTGGCACTTAAGTGCAAATTGAGTAATTTTTCTAAATGACAAAAACCATCATGACTGACAACAGCAAGATTTCTCCAAAGCACATTTGTGTTTCAACTCCTTGCCTTGTGTTTTCCTGCTACAGGCTAGTGGCAACACATCACCCATCTAAGGACATTTTTATCCCCTTGACAGAAGCCATATCTTAGATCTAACTGGGTAGAGTAGCTGTACCAGCGCTATCTTTGAAATTGCTGACTTGGGAATTGCTGACTATGCGGTGGCTGAGAGCTCAGCATAAGTGAAGGCCCTAAGTATTTACCTTATTTTTCAGCTGGATTCTGCAGCCCACACTGAGTTCTGCAGTGCTGCAGCTGAGCTGTTTCCAGAGTTGAAGGTGGCTCACTAAGGTCCTCCTGACCTGCAGCCACAGTAAAGTAACATAACTGGAAAAAATAGGTCCTTGAGCTAGAACTCCCTTACCGAAGGATGATTTTCACGCAGTTTACAGACAGCAATGTCTCCTCCTGTTATTGAGATGCTGTGTTAAAAAATTCATTAATCTACATGGGCAGATCAATTTTGCCAAAGGAGGATTTTTTTTTTTTTTTCCCACAAAGTTATTCATGAAAAACAGAGTTTGAAAACTTCTCTCTAATTCCTAATGGTACTCAATGAAACCTAAAAACATTTTAAGCGGTACTGGCCGTCATTCACTGTTATTAAAAATTTAGCATGTAGACTGCCACCTGGTCTCACTCCTAGGGAGTTCTGCAGTGGAATCTATAGAGGCAGACTGAAAGAGATATGATCTCTCTATTGGCTGTGGATACGCACTTAACACCAATGAAAAAAATACACTTAACATTTCTTCTGTAACGTTGCTCAGATTTCATTCAATATTTTTGCTGAATAAAGTGTATGACATTATAAGGTGCAAGAATGGAGTATGGTACAAGATGTCCAAGCTACCAAGGATGCAAGTTAAGTCTGTACAGGTCTTCAATATCACATGCCCAAATGTAGCATGGTGCTGCACCTAAACATCTGCTACAAGTATTCTAGACACTCGATAACTGATCAAAAACACACTAACTTCATGAAGATACTTGACAATGCCTACTTTAGCATTGGAATTATCCAGTGCCTTGAGCTTTAGCCATTTATTAAAACTTTACACCTTTTCTGAGATGATTTGTTGCTGTAGTTCACAAAATTTAATTACATCTTTAAGACCGAAAGGGCAATACTAATGCATGCCTTACGAGCGAATAAAATTTTATGGTTATTTTTCAAGGTGAAATGTATCGCATGATTTCTTTTTTTAATGGAAGGGCAGTCTAAAAATTAAAATGACTAGTAGAAATGTCTAAGCTTAAGGAATACAGATACTGTTCTGGAATAGCCCAACAGAAAGATTAGGAAGATTGATTCATGAATCAATGAATTTATGAAATTCATTTTATGAGATTGATTTATGAAATTTTAAATCCAAATTTATATTTTTCTAAGCAGAAAAAATCGTCTCAAAGAGTGCAGTATTTCAGAATATTCCTATCAAGTCTTAGCTGTTAGTTTAAAAGCAGAGATACTGAGACAGAGATGAATACACTCTGCCAACCCTGTCCTTTCAATCTACTGCAGAAACAAACAGCTTAACTTGAACTCAGGCACACATGCAGTCTTTTTTACTCTTAGATTGGTTCTAATTAGAAGCAATTGTTTTAACTGCCAGCATAAACCAATGATGTAACTGCTCTTCTTCCTATATAAACCTAATTTCTTGCAAACAGACAAAACTCACACAACATAGGATTTCAGAAGTGGAAGTAACAAACTTTGTGAATTATTTGATTTCCTTTCTGTTCAGTTTTTCTCCCTTATAGCTAACAATCCTTTACCATTTGGTGCAAGGAGTTCTCGTCCTCTGCTATTCCCTACCAGTTCCCCTACCAGTTCAAGAATAAGTTTTGGGAAACTAAAACTAATATGTAAATATAACTACAGAGCAGTCCGTTTTTTCCCCAGTAGACCAGAGACTGATGTCTGGCAAGGTTACCATTCTCAACCTGCTAGGAGTTTACTGGCAGGGCAGATAATAGTTAAAACGCGCAGCCCTACAGCTTGAAAGGCCAGCCAGAATGACCTTTCCTCTCAATATAGGAAAGGAGAATTTTCAATCACCGAGTGCAGTCAGTCTCACTTCTAGTGCCAAGAGGTAGTAATGCCCTAGACAGTGGGGATAGCTGATCAGTGTCCTATCACCTAGGGAAAGGAGACTGACAGATGCAATTTTATGTTCAAAGTGCTGCCTCATGCTCTGAAATGAACTCTACACATGACATAGTACAGAAATTTGAAACAGCATTCCCAAAGTCAGCATGCCTCAGTGACACAAAAACAGGGAAATTCAGGAAAAAGGGTATGCAAATTAGGTATTTGTTTTAAACGAATTATCTCTCTAATCATACATAATGTATTCAAGCAATAAATCTGTTTGAACTGAAGTGACAGGCTGACATTCACATACAATTATGTGTAGTGTTAAGTACCTTATAACTGTGAGTGACACGGCTGATTTCATTTGGGCCATTTGTAGTACAAGATAACAGCCAACATGATTACAGCTACAGCTTACAAGCCAGGCCAGTTAGATAACTACTACATTTATAGCTTAAAATAAAATCACATTTTGGAATCTGCTTATCTATACAGCCAAATGTTCTTCCCAATAAAATGCCAAGGAAAAGATCATAGTGGTATATGGAAAACTAAGACAGAAGGAATTACAGTACATTTGTACTGTCAACTCATTGACCTTGTTAGATCTTATAAAGATGGGTGCCATCATGAATGTCCTACAGTTTCCTCGGTTCTCCTCTGGGCCTCTGATACGCACCATATTTAACTATACACAAAACATATTTCCAGACTAAGACCTAAAAATGTCTTTGTTAGGATCTGTTTTTCATGCTGATCTTAATGGACTTACCATGCCTAAGAAAAAATGCTGTTGTTCAGCAGACAGCACTCTTCCAAAGCCTGGTAATTTAACTAGCAAAAAGTCTATTTATTTTTTTTTTTTAATACTAATTACAAGGGAAAGCTTTGTAGTCAAGCCCCATTACCACAGAGGCAGATAATGAACTCCCTCGGCCAATTTATGGGGTAGGGGTATGGCAGTCTTCCCATTGCAATAAGTATGTTTATGGTGATTAATCAAGTAGAAGTCTGAAAAACAAGGATAATTTGGCATTTTCTTCCTTTACTGAACGACAACCCATAATATTGTCCTGCACAGTCTCCTAATTTTTTAGATTATCAGAACCAAAACCCCACCAACAAAGTAAACCACCTGTTACAAAAGTAGTCATGCTGATGTTCAAGTCAGACTCTGGTCCACTCTGTGCGTCGATGCTATAAAGATGCTATCCTATTTTGTGCTACTTCTTAGACCACCATTCACAATGCATGTTCCCTCAAGTCTTCTTTAGCCCAAATTTTATGGAGAGGTGGGAATTATGATCCACTCCACCTCACCTTGCAGGCTCCAAAGCTGTATCTTGCTATCTGGCCCTTATATACTGTGCCTGGTATAGCTCTGGCACTCTTCCAACACTAGTTCAGCTGTGAAATCAAGAAGGTGCTTCCCCTTACGCAGACTAGATAGGTAACATGATGTTAGGCAACAATCATCTGTCATTCTTGTATATTTCCCAAATCATCATTCATAATCAAGATAGTGCAGGTCAAAAAGTCAGTTGCCTATTTCAGATAGGTCTGTGCTGCTGAGAACTGTCATTTGTCAAAGCAGACTCCAAAAGCAGTCCAATCACTTACAGCGAAATGATTATATTCTGAAATTCCTGTACCAGGTGGTGACTAATGAAGAGTTCAAACAAGGGTAATGCAACAGAGCATATAATTTTGGAGAACATAAACAGAGTCCTTACAAATAATACCATTCATCTGACTTGGCATAATTCTATTGGTTTTTAACTACTGTAACTCATTGCTGTTCAAACCTGTATAATACAAACAGCAGTCTGCCAAACTGTCATTTAATATTTCTATCGATTCCCATTCACTGTTTCATTTTAAAAAATGGAGCACATCTTCCTTTATGTGACACGGAAATACAGAGTACTTAACACTTTGAATTAGTTGTATAATGTTGCTAAACACTTCATTAAAAAACAAACAGGTTGGTAAATAGATTACTGGAAAGGCTAGGCTTAAAGCAATTTGATTTCTAATTTGGTTTTTTTGTAATCTTCTTATATTTACCTAGGAAATTAATTAAACCTCTTCTTTGTTTTCCCTTCTACAGTATTTTGCTATTAATCTTTATTCTGATATTAAGCTCCTATGGTATCTAACAGAAAACTATAGTCATGCTGTGATAAGTAAATTGAGTACTGTATTCTTAAAAATATAAACCTATACCTTCTATATATAATTTTATACCTTCTATAACATTACACTTACAGCGAAGACTATGTAAAGGATTATTTGGTGATTTACCTGGTCTTGAGGAAGGAACTCTTGCTATCTCTAGGGAACAAGGTTTTTTGGTCACTGCTATGTCTATCGAATCACAAAGACTGCTGTCATTTTCTGAAGGAACTGCATCCAGAGGTACAGAGGGTATTGCTTCCAATGCATAACCTCTCTTCTTTGAATAAGATTCCTGAAATGGAAAAATTTAAGTAGGTAAGAGAGAGATTTCTCAGATGACAGAGGCAAAAAAAACAGGTTCAATAACTCTGGCTAGCAGGGTCGAAAATTCAGCAAATTAAATACCACATTCAGCTGAAATCCAAATTGTAACAGACTGGAAGAATTACTTGTGTGCTACAAGATAACGTTTCTTGTTTCTTTAAATTTTTGTGTAATATAGTTCTTGTTTAGTTACAGAAACGCCTCTATTCTATATGTTGGAGCAAAGCTCCAACATAACTGGTCTTGCCTTACCTGCTTTGCTAGGTTCGCATTCAGAGGATGTCTCTTGTTCAATTTTTTTAATTATATCTCATGAAAGTGACAATTACATTAACTACTGCAATTACTTTATCTTTGGGGATGGTTTTACAATATGTTTATATTACATATACGAAAGCTAAAGATATGCCATTTACATGTTGATGGCAGAATCCCAGGTTGTGAATAGAGATGAATTACTGCACTATATTTGAGTGAACGGCAATAATGGCACAAGGTCCCTTAAGAGTGATACATGCAGTGGATTCCCATCATTAGCAAATCTTGAGGGAGGGAAAAAAGGAATTAGCCAGAAGTTTTGCTGGTACACTAAAATGTCCAGTCAGCAGACTGCCTCTGCTTTTGAATGTGAATAACAAGATACCATACAGTTTCACCAGAGTTTCTTGATTTGCGATTTATTTATTTTTAATCCCAGCAAAAAGCAATTGCATGGGCAAAGACATATTTCCACATCTTTCTTACACTGGACATATGGATGCCTGGGAAAGTCAAGCACTGCACATAAATCAAATATGATATAATAAAATGCAAAGGGCCAGAATGCACCCTGACAGTTAGGATATTATCACAGAACTACTCAGAAAATTACTGAAGAATGTGATGACCAGAACAAGATGTGGAATAACAATTTATTCAACAAGAACTCATACTGCCTAAGGTAAATTATGACTGTAGATAACATTCCCTTTTTTAGGTAAATTATTTCTATTGTTAGCGGATCATTACACTACCGAACTCTTTGCATTTTTTCCTGCTCATTGTGTTGTGACCTGACTTTTATGAGAGTTCATAATCAGAGAATATTTCAAGTCCTCTTGAAGGAAAGGGTTGAGATGGCAGCAACAAGAGCTCCACTTCAAAATTCTACTTGATGACTTCAGTAGAATCAAATTTCAAACCCTAGGTTAAACCACCACTGAATAAAGAATTTGAAAATGAATACTGGAAACAGTTAACGGGGAAAAAATATACAAAATAAAATAATCAGAATACTAACAAGCATTAGCAATAAAAAATGAATATGTACTAGCAAACAATACAAGGTTAGTGGTCAGTGTTCAAAAGACATGCCTAAAAGATGAATGCAATTGTGTCTCTATGCCTTTTACCCTTTCCTGTTTATGCCGAATCACAGTATAAGCTCTCTGCATTAGTAAACTTACCAATATATACTAATGGTAACTACTTTCAGCTAGCGGACTCTAAAGACATAACACGGCATTGGAGAAGTTTGTAAATGGGCTTACTGCAGCTCCAAATACAACGTTTTAAACTTAAGCCATCTCATTCCTTAAATGAAGTTAATAGATAATTATTCCTGCAGCCCACACCTTGTAGAAAAAAAAACCCACCAAAACCTATTTTGTTAAAATCCTGCAAATAACACCAGCATAAAATGAAACACAGATATTAGGAAGAGTACAACTGAAATCAAGAAGTTTACAAACACACAGTTTTATTACTGGAATAAATGTGCACGAGTTGAAACCTTAGGTTTAAATTAAAGATGACTTTAAAAATATTGTAACTTAAAAATAACAGCACTGTTAAGTCTGTATTATATTCCTGCCTTTTTATAACAATACATATAGAAAATATTTCTCCCTAGGCTGCACTGTGTGATGAGGAGGCATCAAAGCAGCTGAAGTGCAACTGCAGGACAAGCAGATTCCTTCCTACCATGAAAAAAAGGAATTTCTACCTTGTCCATTTAAGTCTGCTGTAAAAACACAGAGGCAAAAATTTATTTACCAAAGCAATGACTAAAAAAGCAGACTTCAATTTAATCCTTTCTGTAAGAGTAAGTCAGAAAGCCAAAACCCTAGTAACAGTAAATCTGCCTAGAGAAGCCCATGCTTTAAAATTGTCACCAAACACTGAAGTGAAACCCTGCTCAGCTCCTGAATTCAGCTTAAGAAAAAAAAAAAAAAAAAAAAAGAGATATATGAAACATAAGAATAGACATTAGATCAGAATTTATGTCTATGTCACCCAATATTCTGCCTACAAAGGCTGCCAACAGTGCTGGCCTAGAGAACAGTGAGACCAGAACAAGACCAGGACAAGCATGTAGTAGTACTTCTCATACAACCCTTTAAGGGTCCCACACCTCGTAATTAAAAGGTGATGACTTTGTTTTGCATGTCCACCAATCAATCTTTCTAAAATTACCTTCTCAAGTTGCCTTTAGAGCACATGTCACTTTTTACAGTTTGCACACACCCCATTTTGTTTTCTCTGTCCCATGAAGTTTGACATCCCTAGTTCTTGCACTTTAGAAGGCAATGAATGGTTGTTCTTTACTTATTCACTCCTTGTGATTTCACAGACCTCTATCACACTTCCTCTGTCCTCTCCTTTAAGGAACGAGAAATTCTAATCTACTCACCCAGCTGTTCCACGCTTTTGGCTATCCCTGTCACCCCTCACCCTCTCAATCTTCAGTGATGTGACAGGGATTAGATTATCACATGGCATTCAAGATGAGGGCTCACCAAGTATTCACACTGACATAATGATGTTCCCTCTTTTGTACTCTACTCCTTTCCTAATTGCTCTTAACATTCAATTTGATTTTCTGAATGTTATTCAACATTCTGTAATTAACATCGCAAGAATATAAATGTCAGAGAAGAATAAATAAAAATGATGAGGTTACTGAGAAAATGGTTGGAATGTAAATTACTGACAAGTAAATTCTTCCTAAATCTCTCCCTAATAAACCAAATATGATAATAGCATGCCAAGCAAAACTTAAGTAAGTTAGAGTCAAAAAAGAATTGTTAATACTTTAAAAAGTCCGGAATGCTATCATTAAGTGAAGATGATAAGCCTTAATTAAAAAAGTGCATATGTAGCAAAAAAAAAAAAAAAAAAAAAAAAGAAACTTCTCATTGCTGGAGAAAAGCAATCTAAAGTCTGGTTGTTGCAGTGTGTTCTCTATTTTGCAGGCACTGAGCATATTCTAGAAATTTTTAAGCTCTAAACTAATTCAAGCTAGGTGTTAGCAGATAACATAAAATTGTCTTCAAGTATCAGGCATCAAACAATGTGATTCTGTTGTTTTCTAAGACTAAAAGCTCTTCAGCATTCTTCTCAATATCAATTCTGTTGTCTCACCTTACCCACTACAATGAGCAGTAACTCTACAGTAGTCCTACGTGTCAGATATTTTCATCTGCATAATAAAACCTTCTATAGAAATGCTCTTCCATTACAACTGAATAATTTTTAGTCCCGAAATCAAAATAATCTGAGTTTAATTTTTTTAAATTAGAGATTATTCAATCTTGAATTTCTGTAAACTGTTCCAAAAAGTCGAAGATGACACATGTAACTGACCACCACTATCAAGCCAGATTTAGTTCTTATTTGAAATTACAGCTTCATAAAAGCGGTGCGCTGGGCTGCCAGTACATTAAAATAAATATTTTTCTGGAAAGGATAAAAATACATACACAATAGAAATGAGAGAAAAAGAGAAGAGCGAGAGTGGGTGAGTCACTGGGAAAGCATTAGAGAACAGAAAATATAAATTAGATTTTTGCCTTGTAGAAAGAAACAGCAATGTGAGACTGAAGTTGCAGAGCACGTGCCAGGGACATATCATGACCCTTACTCAGAGGCCTCCAGCCTGAGCACATGCTTGATGGTATAATACCCATCACATGTAATCTGAAACCTAAATAGGACTAGAAAATAGAAAAGGGGAGGAATGTGATTGCTGATCAGTGGGAATGAATTTGCTTGTAGAATATCGATATGGCAATTGCAAATGGTTATATAGAAATGTGAAACAATATTCCATAACATGAATAAACCTTCAAAAACTACATGATATTCAGTTAGGCCTTCTTTCCATGTTTCTGCCAAGCTTCTAGCTACTCTTGCTTCTGCCTTCTAGATGCTCTTGCATTCCTTACACGAATCAATCTGAACGCTGTATGCTCAAGGACTCCGATAGAAGCAGTATATACAAATTTGTGTTTGTATGACCTAAGAATACAATGATAGAGGCTCAGTAGGCATCGAATCTGAAGTGACATTCTGACAAGAAGATAGAATTTGTACGTAACTGAAATTTTTTCATACCATTCATCTCCTTTCCTATAGAAATCAGGTTAGTTGAAGTTGTTTTTACTTCCCTGGAACATGGGACAACATGTCAGAGTCAGACATGACTGACAGATGAGCAACAGCAGAAAAACC